ATGTCCTTGCCATTTTAAAAATTTTTCATTTCACCTTAGGAGTTTTATTATCATCTTTTAAACTCCAAAAGTATTTAGAAAGTGATGTATTATATCTAAGTTCTATTGGTGAAGGACAAGGTATATTGATACCACCTAGTCTTGAAAGAATTCTTTATACTACCAATATAGAATTTTTCAACTGTTGGATTCTCTATTGTAGAGACAGTACAAAGATAAACAAGAGATTTAGTCAAACATTTGTTTGACAATGGGCATTGGTTAGAATTTTTACAATTACACTGGCCAATATCATTAATTTTCCTTGGAATGTTTATTATGATCCAGATTATTAAATTGGTTTAAAAAAATTTTTATTGTGTAACTTAATAATCTTCTCAAAGATTATTGGTGCAGCTATAACTTAGTTTTAATGTGTTTCTATTAAATATTTTAAGAGGGTTACTTTTAGGAAAATGTTTATCAATCAATTGGAGAAACTTATGGCCTAACTTAGTACTGACTAATTGATTAAATGGAGGTGTGTACCAAATGATCTTCTTTCTATTTCTTTTCTTTGGACCACTATCATCATATTTTCTAAACTTGATTTCATCGTACTTGTAACCACTATTCTTTAAAATTTTATTATACACACCGCTATATTTATCAAACACATCTTTGTCTGATGAGCGGTTGCTAATTTAAATTGTCTTTAAATTAAGTGGCAGCAGAAGAATTATCATTGAACTTTTAAAAGGTAAGAAATGTTCATGCAATATTTAAATGCAGCAATCAATTTTGAGTTCTTTTGTAGTTTATTGTAGCCTATCGCATACAGCAGCATTATGCTTCACAAAAAGAAATCTCCACCAACAGAGGACCAGATTGCAATCAAAAGAGCCAAAGCTGCAGTGAGGGAAAGAAATTAGTGTGCAAATGACAACCCAGATCAAGTGGCAGCCAGGAGAGCTTCCAATGCTGAGAATATGCAAAGACTCTCAAACTCCTAAACAAGCTGAAGTCCCAATGAAGAACCCTCCACAGGATGTAGCTTAAATGTCACACATTAAATATATATATATATATATATATATATATATATATATATTTATATTCAAGAAAATAGTAGGCAAAGCAACAGTAATGTAAGGCAGAAAATTAACAATGTAAGAATGGTGTTAATACCAAAAAGAGGTACCGACAAGTAATTGCAGCATTCTGACTTCAAGATACGAAAACAAAAATATAGCAGATGAGACCAAGAAGTTGTATATTTTATTGGCTAGCAAGAACTCTCAGTATGAAAGTGAATGCAACAGCCTTAGATAGAATTTGAACTTGGCATGCCAGTTGTAATTTTGCTGCCATCTACCATGCATAGCCATAAAAATAGAAATGAAATAAGGAAAATACTTGAAACCAAAGTATATATTAGATGAAAATGACACATGGTCTAGTGGATAAAGATGTTGGTCAGATCCAGTGACTAAACCCAAAGAGTTGTGAGTTCAATACCAGGCTACAGCAGTAGTGAACCAAAAAACTTGGAGGGTAGAGTTAAAGGGAAATAAATGAGACGTCCGTAAGATCCATGGCATATTGAACTAGAACAATCTACCTCGGTGGATGAAATAAAGGGTTTGGTTTGAAATTCCAATCACCTGAAGAAGGCTGGAGTGTATAATAGTCGAAACATTGGGAATATGGCAATGAAGATGAGGACAACAGTCTGAATAATGTAAATGAATATGACACATTTGATAAAAATATTATTCAGAGGAAGATAATGCTTTAAAACATATTCCTAAAATAATGAAAATCCTTAATCTTGTTTCAAATTGGTCAGAGGATATATTAACTGAAATATAGGATTAAGGATTAACAAAGGTAAAGATAGCAAATCTCAAAAATTCATGGAGCAATGAAAATACTTAATCTGAGAACTTCTAAAAGAATGTTTCTATAACAATATGAATTTTTTGAGTAGAACTGGAAGATAATGAATTATTGATGAACATGTTTTAATTACTTCAACCCAAAATAAGAGAAATTTAAAAATATTGTATTTCAATGTAAATTTTCTAGAAACAAAGATAATCAGTCATGTATATGAATGTCAGAAAAATGAACAATTGTAAAATGTTTTTTGTTTTGTAGATAATATGACTGTCAGTAGTTTTCTTATAAAAGTCAATTTTCCAAAATACTTTTTATAATATACAAATGTCACCTAAAGATAAATTGCCAAAATGTAGTTTAAAATTATTTCATTCATTTCATTGACTTTATTTAAAGATGGGAAAGCAACTTCATGCTTTTCAGAAAAATAGTTTACTTTATTTATATTTGTTTTGTTTTTTTTTCTGTACAGATTTGCTTCTTGATGTTTGTGAGATGTTTACTCTGAAACTAACTCTGTATTTGAATATCCATGAAAAAGCATGGAAAAATCACTGCTTTAGATATTTTGAATGTTTCTCTTTGATGAAACTGTTCATTATTATAGTCTATCAATATTTGAAATCAATTCACTGACTTTTCCATTACAGCTTTTTCATCTTGGCTTGATTTCACAAAATTAATAATACCAAGTAATTATTATTATCAAACAGAATCTGTTTATGATGAAGAGACAAGCTTACGTATGCTGTTGAAAGATAAACCCTTTAAACATTTACATGTGGCCATTATAAATCTTAATTAGAATTAAAAATCTACTGAAATTTTCTGTCATGCAAAAATATTTCATTTTTTTCCTCTTAAGAATACTCTGAAGGACTCTAATTATCCATTCTCTATGCCCAAAAGTAATTACTAATGAGACAACTGGGAACCTACTCCATATGCTAGACAGTTTCATTGCAATATACAAAAAGAGGAAGGGTTTTTGTATTTCCTGGAATATGCAGGTTGGCCTGTATATTTGTTATTTATATTTTTAATCAAATAGGAAAATTTTCTGCAAAATAACAATATACATGAAAAACTGTAGATAAACAAGAATTAATAATATTTTTAGGCATTTATATGGCATTTAAAAAAAAATTATTTCAGAATCACAAGTTAATGTATTTTTCTTTCTTACACATATCAAAGTTATTACACATCAAAATTTAAATCTGAAGAATGTCCACCTCCATATATCTGGTCTTTTGAACAGGAGTAGAGGTTTATCCTTCATTCCTGTTTGTGATTGGGTTTCTGGTTCTTTAGCCTTCTCATTTTCTGTCACTCCCAGTAGCCCTTTTACATCTTAGTGGCATTATTATCATATCATATAGAAATTTCATCCAGTCTTTAGACATTAAATTTAATTACAAGAAAACAGACCATAAAAGTAATTTTGCTTGCAGATTATCATTAATAGGCCACATTTTAAGCTACTTGATCATAAAAGCTTTGGTAGCCTGATTGGTTCAGGCATTGCCCCTGTATGATGAGCTTTGAAATAGTGGCATCAAGTTTGAGTCATGATCTAAGCTACTTATTGCTTTAGAATTTCAAGTTAAATGTTTCAAGAACTTATTGGCTGAAAATGTTGTAATTAAAAATATACAATAAAAAAAATGGTGAAACTTAACAAAAAATCGAGATGAAAAAGATTCTATTTTTAAATTATCAGAAATTAATAAAGAATATTGAATTGATTATTGAGTGAACATTGAAAAAAGATTTTCAGAATAAAACTCAAAAAAAAATTGTCTAATTTCATCTGAAATAAACCTTTCTTTTCAAGTACAATGTGTGCTATGATAAAGTTGTTTATCCTCACAAAAATAATTAAATATTTCATAATTTAAATTCAAATTTATAACTTAAAACATCTTTTAAAAAACATAACATTAGGCTTTTGAATAGCTGATGAAGCAAACTTTATAAATCAGAATTGTTTCATTGTTGCACATTTTCAGATGCAAACAATTTTTGTGTTTAGAACAGAAAAAAAAAACAGACAAATGTTTTCAAATCTCTGTTTTTATTGTTATTGGCTTAAATGTTTCCCGAGTTAATCTGCTTAATGTCATGTCACCTCTTATTTATAGAATTTATATTGTAATTTGTAAAGGTTAATTATTATGGTACTTAAGACTTACAGAGAAGGAAGGGAAGATAAGTAAAAGATTTTTCTCTTTTTATTACCTTTATTTTCTTTGTAAAAAGCAACTTGATACTTAATAGACATACTATTATTTGCCTTGGGCAGACATTTATTTTTGTCAATTTATACATAATTAAAAATTACTTGGAAAATTGTGACCTGATTGGACAGCAAATTGCTTATTCTCTGTTTTTTCTTTTAAATCATTTCAACCGAAGCAAGGGGATAATGCCACTAAGGTACAAGTGGTTACTGTGATTGAAAGAGAATGACAAGACTTTAGTGAGGTGAGAGGACAATAAAAGAACAGGTTTCAGAAGATGATGTTGCATTTAAATTTTTTGAAGATTGTAGATAACAGGGAGACAATAAACCAGAAAAGAAATGCAAGAAAAGAAAGTATTAAAATAGAGCTTATGGTCATATTTGATGATGAGATCTTGTTGGTAATCTAATATTAAGCTTAAATTAATTCTGTTGAGGTATCAAGGAGGAAAGCACATTAAGGCAATTGTCATGAAAATATTTATAGAAAAGACAGTAGCAAGCCATGTCACCATGATGGGAAAGTGACTGTAGCTGAGATGGCAGGTCGGGACCAATAATATTACAGACCTTTCTTTGGATTTTTTCAACAATCTCAAGATATATGACAGTAGCTCCAGACCAGATATGGCAGCAATATTCAATTCTTATGAGCAAAAAATATTTTGCAAATTATTTAAAGCTGCAAAATATTTTTGAATTGTAAGAAATTTTTGGAGATAATGCTTTACAGATACAAGTCCTATTAATTAACCTGTAGCTGGGGGGAGAAGAGGTGGATTTATACAAGGGAATATATTGAACTCAACTGGAACTCGGATCTCCGATATCTCATTATAATCTGTTATCCATTACACCACCTGCATATCCAATCTTACAGCACTTAGTCTTACCAAGTGGTCACTCATCTAGGTACTGACCATGCTCAACATTGCTTAACTTTGGTGATCAGACAAGAACTAGTGTTTCAGCATGATATGGCCATAAGCCAGTAACGTAAAAGAATCGTAGATTAGAAAAATTGAGTTCTAAGTCTTTGAGTTTTTGATGAATTTCTGTATTGGATTCATGATTCAAATATCTTTAACTATGACTGTATGGTTTTTAAAAACTTTGTTCAGGTGTCAAAGTTTGAATCATCTTGTGCATTATCAATAAAATTTTTTTGTGTTTTTGAACGCCTTTGTTTCATAATTGCAGAAAAGTGTTTTTTCAGAGGTGAACCTTATTCTTAAAGTGAACTGGATTACATTTTCATAAAATACAAAAATAATTTTTGGAGAAATAATTTTTAAGAATTAATTTTTCATAGAAATTTTATTTTACTTTTATTGATAGCTTCTTTTTCTTCTGTTTACCATGTATTTCAGGACATAGGCAATCATGCCTCTCCACAATTTCCTATATTGTCTAGTCCTTAGCAATTTTTCTCTCTTTGCTACCCCATTCCTCCCACATTTCATCATTCACCCACACAAGCTTGTGAGGTGAGTGGTTTGCTGCCTTCCCCTATCTCTCTTACCCTCAATAGGCCCTCTGTGTGTTTAATTTTCCAAGCCCTCCTTCCCCAAAATGTGACCAGTCACTTTCAGCTGTCTTTTCTTGATTCTGTGTATAAGTGTTCTTTCTGTTGCCATTTACTTTGAGTCTTTCATGAGGCTGACTCACTCCATCCATTTTCAGTTCATTTAGTTTTAATAATATAAATTTGGGAAAGTTTTACATTTTAAATATGAATATATATATGAAAAGCAATTTTCATTCAAAATATTCTTATAGTTTTGGCTTTTGTAAATATGACTGCAAAAATTCTAAGAGCACTTTTATCATTCTGTAAACATGATGCATTTTCTAGCTGGCTGAATTTGTTGATTTTAAGTGATCTTATTTCGATGATATTTATGGTCTGGTTGTCTTCTATTGCAACTCAGGCATTGATACATAAAGATAGATAAAAAAAAAACTTTATTTTTAATAATTATGCAAAATCATGGCATTTTTATGCAGATTATTTGATAATTACAATTTGGTGCAAATACTGGTTAACAGAAACTTCTTACCATTCTCTAAGAATTATCTGATACCTTACTTTCCTCATGGAAAATACAAGAGTTTCCAGTGTTTTCCTCCAGAGTCAGCATTGTTGGAACTTCTTTTGTTTTGTGAAATATTATCAAAGTTCTTTATTCCCACTGAGATTCAAATTTTTTATTGTTTTTTGTTTCTTGCAAAATTTATTGCATAATTATTTTCTATTATTGTTGTCTTCATTGTTTTGTCTTTCTTGATGAAGGCATAGAAATTTGTTTAACAATTTTATTTCACACAAGACTAAAATAGCAGGAACTTGGTATGCTTTATTAAATGCAAAGTTGTAGTGTAAGTTATTGGAAGCCTATCTCAACTCATGTGATTCCACTGGATACAAAAAATTTTAGTTTTGGTTTGGGATTCTTGTAGTTTGATGCTGTAGATGGCTTAACAAATTCAAAGAAAAATATAGAGATTAAGAGCATAGTTAATCCCCAAAAAGTTAATCCTCTTGGTATATTTTTCATTTAATAATGTCTTAGTACAACTAATATATAAATTAGTAAAGCTTCAGCTTCCTTATTTCGTATTCTGTTAACAAGGGTGTATGGAATGTTTTTATGCATTTTAATTTTTGAATTAATTATCCACGTTAAAACTGTTTCAATGAGAAAAAAATTTTTTTAAAAGTATTGGAATTCTGAAATAAACATGAAAGTAACTTTTTTTTATTTTATTGTTCAGATATAAAGAAACTATTTTTATACTAAGTTTATCATTATAGATGTACCTAGAAAAAACTGACTCTTAAAAATTTGTGATTTAGCAACAGGCTCAGGTTTATCATTTTGTACACATTGTTAACAATATCTAAAATATCATATTAAATTTATTTAATTATGACATTAAATAACATTCTTAAATGATTTTTCATTAATTTTGTAGCATAAAATATCATATTTCTATTATGTTTTTGAGAGTAAACTAAACTAAAATTCAACATACATTTTTGCAAAATACTTTTCAGAATGAGAAACGCAAATTACTCATAAAAAATAAATTTCATCTCCAATGTTTTTGTGAATAGCAATATCCAAAAAAAATATTAAATTAAAATTATGTTAATAATAGAATGTTTAAATAAAAACAACTGAAGAAAAGGCTGTTAAAAATTTAACAAATGAAACATTATTAAAATTAACTTTCTTGGGAGAGACTGTGTTACATTTGTAATAGTAAATAGTAAAAAAAAAAATTGATTAATAAATTATTTGTTTACATCAAGTAAAATTAAAATGTTACATTTCAGTATAAGAAGCATGTTAATAATTCAAAATACTTTTTTTTCATTTGTTAGAAACTAAAATGAAGTTAATCCTTGTTGTATTTGTTTTTATAAGCAAAAATTTCATAGGAAAGATTATTAAGTGGAAAAAAAGTGTTAAATTAACTTCCAAGAGCAAGATTTCCTAAATTAGACGTTTTTATGCACAAGAACATTTGTTTTTGCAATAAACATAATGTAATATATCAATATTAAAGGAAATGAAATAAATAAATCTTATACTTACTTCAATTATATTAGCTAAAATTATTCCAAATGTAAAAAGCAAACATTTCTTTAACCAACGACAGCAGTGAACTGCTGCAAACCAAAACTAAAAAAAACTTTGTCAGAGTGAAATGGCAAAATTAGAGATAGATCTCCAGTTCTGTGCAATGAATGCACCATGACACAACCCTTAATAAAACATGCAATATACATATAATGATTGTTTTCTTTTTAATCATTTCACCCCAAACAAGGTGATAATGCCACTAAGATGCAAGTGGTTATTACTGGGTGTGAAACAGAATAAGAAAACTTTAGAAGAAGGAACCGAAAACTCAATCCTAAACAGAAAGCAAGGGATGAACCTCTAATACTGTTAAAAAAAAATGAGGAAAGTAGTGTAAATTGGGTGATAGGCAAACCTATCGACTCCTATTAAATCAGTCTTACATCACTCTTCTAAATGGAGCTGGTTGATTTGCAAATGAACACTTTATATCTAGTCTTTTACCTGCAATTGAATACCAGTCAGTAGTGCCAGTAGGAAATAGAAAACTATAATAGCATCTCTTTGATAAAGACATTTCTTTAAGAGTGTATATTTGAGGTGAGCATTTTAATTTTTGGCCTTGGCTGGCATGATTTACAAATGTCCTCAACTGTATGTTTGATCTGGTAATAACTCTTTCTCTCAGAATTTCAAACAAATGCTGATAGAATATTTTTATTAATCAAAAATATAAGTAGTAAATTAGACTTATATGTAGCCTTTCTTATACTTATATATTCTCTGTTTATTCTGAAGACAGCTTTTATTATCTTCTTTGCATTGATGGCATTCCTCTTTCGGTAATGACATTAGTCATATTGTTGCTATGCTCGATTTGCCTTTAAAAGTGATGTCGCAGAATTGATTTATCATTACTGTTTCTTTGATGTTCTGATAAAAAGCAAAAGTTTACGATTACCTTGTATCATGAAAGATGTTCAGTCATTTTTGATTTAAAAAATTCATTCTTTCCTTTTGTTGGATTTAGCACGTATCTTGCAAGCACTTTTTTTCTGGGGGTTGGATGAGTTTGTCTGCTTTTTTTTTTGTTTTTCTTTATTTAATCCTTTAAAGCAAGTCAGTGTAATTAACAGGTCCAAAGATGGTTGGTCTATGATAGAATGTTGGTTTTTGACATTTAGATCTCCTCCAATGAAATAAGAGAATAAGACAAGCAGTTCAAGACAAAGAACAGCGTTCTTTGAGAATCCAATAAATGGCAGTCATTATAATAAAATCAAAATAGAATTCTATACTAAAACCTCATGAGAAGTTTTTACCATAATTTCTAGTGAATGTAAACAAAGTACACCATAATTAGATGATGATAACTTATATTTATGCTGATGCCTATCAAGCTGAATATATCATAAATGATGTATAATATAAGCAGCACTTAAAAAGAGTCTGCCATGTATGCACACCAGAAAGAAAAGTGCTCAACACCATACAATATGGTAGAGTTTTTCTAAATAAAGAATCACCTCAGGTGTATACAGTTTGACCACTACTAGAAGTTTCATGCCTTTAAGCAATTGTCAGGCGGTTCGCAGCTGTAATGAGAAAATGATAGCTTTTATACCTACAAGAAAGATTAAGATGAAAAAAAAATATGGACGGTGTTTGATCTCTGTGCACAAGCAAACCAGTCTCACCTGGAGGGGGAATGCACCCATTCAACCAAGATCAAATATAAGGCCGTAAACACACAATTACTTAGCCAACCCAAATATTTCATTGGTGCATCAAAAAGTGCTCAATGCCATAGACAAACACACACATATATACATATATATATATATATATATATATATATATATATATATATATGGCATGTGTGTGTATATATGATAATGTGTTTGTGTGTATGATATGTGTGTATATGTGTTTGTGTGTATATATAATATGTATGTATATGATATGTGTTTGTGTGTCTATGTATGAGATATATATATGTGTGTGTGTGTATGTGGGCTATATAATATGTGATATATAGTTGATTGTTTCATAATTTCAATATTGATATTTATATTGTACAAAAATAATATTGGAGCAGTTAATTTAATGTATATTTTCTCAGCAACCTTTCTTTTAAATATGTTTAATCAAATATGAGAGATAAGGAAAATTGAAATAATTTTCCTTTTTTTTGTATTCAAAACAACACAAAAAAATACATCTTAAATAGTCAAAGCATGAAGAAAAATTAACAATAGCTAAAAACAAACCACCTTGAAAATGTCTAAATACATGGCTGAAAATGCTTGGGACAAGGGACAATTTCTGTTCTCCCTTACTCCCACCAAATGGAAAAAATGTAAGAACAGTGGAAAAACTAAATAAAAAATTAATCAA